TATGTTGAAATAAAATGTGTCTAAGTTATTGAGATTTTTCATTTTTTATGTTATGAGTAAGTGTTATAACTATACGAAAAATGAAAACCACCACACTGTAGCTGAAAAGGACATTTTTTTTTCTTGTCGAAACTGAAGTTAGCCGAGCCCTACGTTTTAAGCAATGACCTAAAACTGCAGTTGTATATTACCACTTGTGTACGCTAAACTCTTTTATTCCACCGATCTAAAAATTCCTTGAATTATTGTTGCTAAGGATAACAGTGAATCTGTTTTAGGAAAGCCGAAAAGCAACAGCTAAATCTGTCATGGATTTGCAAAGGGTTCAATGCAATATTAAGGGGAAAATAGACCAAATTGATCAGAAAACTTATGGTACATAAAGAAAACTATCCCATTAATCTCTGAATAGCAAAGAAAGTTTACTTGTTGGCAGGGTCGTCGTTCTCAGTAGATTAAAAGAAAGTAGTAAAATGACAAGTACAGACTTCCTCGAATTCCAAAACTTGGATCAGCGGTTGTTTATTCAACACATTTTTTCCAAATGGATTTGCTCTTTTTGCAAAACATTACTAGGGGAAATGCCACTTAATATTTTTCAAACGGAAAACAGCGCGACCAATTTTGCCTGGGGAGTTGTGAGATAGTTAGAAGAGTATGAAACACAGATCGGGGCAATGTCTTTGTACCCTTCAATTTTGTGTGATAATCGGAATCTTAGACAGCGCAGATCCAGAACAGTGTTCCGGTCAAAAGGGGAACGGCTTGATTGGTCTCTTTCGCTCAGCAACTTCTACTGAATTATGGAGAAGCATTCAAACATAAATGCGTTTGCCATAAATAGACATCAGTAGCATAAAAGATACGCCAACTGCGATGCCAATGGTCTGTGCGATCGTTGTTATAACACTTTCTCTGAAGTCCGTCCTAATCATTTCGTTAACAGAGTCACGGATTTCTGGTACCTCAAAGAAAACTGATTATGAAACATGGAAATAAGTTCATTGCAAATGGGGGTTTCAACCTTCATCAGCGTAAAATTCGTTATTTTCTAAGCGGTATTTCTTAGCACCAGCATTCCATGAAAGATTGATTCTTCTGCTAAGAAAGCGGCAGTAAGAAAATCTGAATTAAATTGTTTATGAAAATACAACTAACCAAAGTGCCTAAAAAAATATATAAATACATTCCTGAAGAAACTGAGAAAATGTATGTTTGATAAGTGTCTCCTGACTCGCCTAACATTACACCAAGAAAGAAACCGACGAAGCTAAATGAATTGGGGATCAACGCAAGCAGTAAAGTCCGTTTTAACCCAAGGCCAGATTTAATCAAAATTGCCAACGTTCCTGCAAGTGAATTTTACCGCCTGTATCAGTAAAACATTTCTTTAGCCAATAAGTAAAGACCAAATTAGCTAATTCACATTAGCTTAAAACGAAGTCTGAATTTGTAAAAGGTCTTTGAAAAAGTTCTTGACGGAAAGTAGTAAATCACCAATTTCTTGTGGCAGTTGTTGCGCAATCACAGCGATTCCAATTGAAAGTCCTCTAGAAAATGAATCTGCAAACGCAGCACCGTTGCTCATGCCATCGACAAGGTTATTTGCTGTTGAACCAAAAATGATCATATATGCTACTGTTGCAACTTCAAGTTCCGAAGTGTCGATTACGGTTTGCTCAACGACATCTACGCATACCGACACAAGATCATCCTATAATCTTGAAAAAGACAATATTTTTTGGATTAAATACAACGTAAACTGAGAATTTTTTAATAGGCAGAGCATTTATGATCTATTGTTATAGTCTTTCTAAAGTAGCTGAGAAATAAATGGATGTATGAAACCTTTTCTCTCCTCTTTTTTGAAGAAGTAGAGTTATTTGATTGAAGTACAGGGTTAAGAGCGATGCCCTTTGCCGCTGGTGATGAATTACTGTCTTGGCTTTGCGACGAGTCCTGAAAGCTTGTAAATTAATACCTGAGGCAGATCTGCTGTAGCGCGTATAAACTGCTTCTCGCTCTGACTAACTTTAACAAACATTAGCTAATGTTAGCTTTTTTCAAAACTAAGATGTATTAAAACTTTTTGCAATTTAAGCTTGCTGAAATTAAACAACTTAATAAGTTGTTATCATATACATAGCTAGCAAAAGTTCTCAGCAAAGGAGGGGGTCTGTGAGTGCATAAACAGTTTGAAAAGTAGACGACTAACCGTTTTTCCAAAAACAATAGAGTTGCGGATATTAGAAATGTCCTGAAAGAGGCTATCTCAGACTACGGTTTACAATTCTAAATTAAATCTGATAAATACGTAGAGTTTGGTAAAATTTTCATTGGATATGTGTTGGGCAAAGCGATGAGTATTAACATTTGTATTTTCCTGATTTAACTGAACTTTAGTAATACGCTAACATAAATCTTGGCGATATCATCAGTTATTTCATCGAAAGCATCAACATCTTCACTATTAATCTTCACAGCCGTAACAATCGCTGAACGCCTCCGTGTGGAAAACTGTAAACGAACCATATTTATATAATTATGCTTTTGCTAAATTTCAAAAGTTATTTGTTGCTATTTGTCGAACCTTACTTTTTTTGTCATTTACATGCTTCTTGGTATTTCTGTTAGCACCTCTATTTATGCTTACATTAGGCGTGGGTATTAGTAATACTGCTTTCCAAAAACTTCCTTCAAGTTTTATGCCGCATAGAGGGTATTTAGAAGAAGTACTTAAATACAATGAAAAAGTCCTCATTGCTTCCTCTACCTTCTAATTACCGTTTTCGCTATCTTTTTACTTTTAAGATTATTTTGAACAATAACGTATTGACGTAATTACTCTAACACTTTTCTTTTTTTTTTTTTTTT